GGAGGGAGGGAAGATGGAGAGAAGGAGGCAGGGACAGAGAAAGGGAAACTACCTCCTTGTAACTTCTAACTCTGTTCTCCAAAACTTATTGAAGGCAAATGAGTATGACTTCTTCCCTTAATGGGATATGTCTGATACGTCCCAGGCTTCCAACCACAAGTACAAACCCATTACATTTATAGTAATCCCAAACCTTGACGAATTCAACACATCTTCACTATGTCCAGCTTTTTAGAAAACATTCTCCACTAGGAATTTCTGCGACCCATCAGGGGTGCTCACCATTACAAGTGGCGTGTACTCAAGCCCCCGCTAGCTTGTGAGTCCCATGTAAGGTCATTTTCTACTTCAAAGTCATGGTGAAACAGGGGTTCAGAGAAGCAGAGCCACAGCCTCAGGCTACATCACACTGCTGCTCCGATGCTCTGAGCCAATCATTCAACCACCAAACCTCCAACCTTTGTCAGACTGCTGATCTCCTTCTGCCCAAGACCAGCTCCCTCCAAGGTTCCCATGGAGCCATGCTGGGCCCCGATGGACAGTTCCTTCCTTTCATTCCCAAAAGACAAGGCTTTCAAGAGGACGGCGGAGGGAGGGCCAGAGTGCACGGTGAAGGGGGAGCAATGGGGAGGCATGCCTCACATTTTCAACTGCCACCTGAGATCCCTCCAACCTCCAGTCCTCATCATCCAGTCGGAGCCACTTGGCCACGTCTCCCCCTACTCAGGTGTTATTCTCAGGAACCTGTTTGTCTCTCATCTAGCAAGGATTGCTTTCAGAGCTCCTAGGCTATCAGACGGTCCCGAACATGTCTGAACCATATATGAGAACAGGGCTCATTTGGCTTCTTTCCCACAAGGCTCCGAACCACACGCAAAACAAGAGGTACTAATGGACATCTGTTTTCGGTGTTCCTGAACATTCTGTGAAGGGCAATAATTCCACACACGTTGTAGGACACTTAGAGGGTGGCTTGCACAAGCACACAGAAGATCTGACTCCACACAGAATATCACAATTTCTGACCCAGTCAAAAAATACCCTGTCACAAATGCCTAAATGGGCACTGTATTATTTAGGGAGAGCTAAACTGCTAAGTCAAGACTCGCCAATAATTCTGTGACTTAAAGAAACACCCAAGTTTGTCTCTGTGGATCAGTTCCACAATATACTTTTCAAGTAGGCATGAGGCTCAGCTTCATAGGGCATTCAGGAATCCAGTCTGATGGTGCTCTGCTATCCTCAATGGACAGCTTCTGAGATCATTCTAGTCCTCAACCATTCATCAGTAGGGGGGAAAGGTGTGACGGACTGGGTATGCAGTGTTTCAGAAGTCAGCCCCTTACGATCCGATGGTGAGAACCTGATCACATGGCCACAGCTAGCTGCAAAGGAGACTGGGAAGTGCAGTCCCTGGCAAAGCAGCCACACACCAGCTACAACGCTTACTCTAGAACAAGGGACAGCAAATTATAGCCCAACGGTCAAATCCTTGAGTCCCCTGGCTTTATAAACAGAGTTTAACTGAAGCACAGCCAAACATATCCATTCATTTACATACTGTCTATGGCTGCTTTCCAGTTACAAAGGCAGAGTCGAGCAGTTATGGCAAAGACCTTATGGCATGCAAAGTCTAAAGTATTTACTATTTGGCCCTTTATAGACAGTATTTGCTATTCCCTTCTTTAGGAAAAAAAAAGGAGCATGCATACTATGGGACAACTAGCAGTCTACACTTTCAAAATTTATCTCGACAACTGTTAGAAAGACACATAGACAAAAAAATATTCTGTCAAGCAGTTTTGTCATACCAAAAGACTAAAAACAACTTTAAAAGGACTGGGAAATTATGGGCCGTGCATACCACACAATACAATGCAACCTTTAAAAAGAATGAGGAAGTTCAACATGTACTGATTAGAAAATATCCAAGTGTATTAACTTTAAAAAGTAAAATGCAGAAAAATGTTTAGACTGGTGCCACTTGTGGGGAGGAAAAAAACCAGAACTTAATATATAATACCTACATGCATACATGGGCATAAAAATTCCTGAAAGAATACAAAAGAAACTGAAAATGAGCTGTTTCTGGATAGAGAAATCAGAAGATTGAAGCACAGAGGACTTTTTACTATACACTTTTATATATTTTGAATTTGTACAATGTGCATGTACCACCTATTTTTTTAAATAAAAATTAAACTGAGAAAACCACATACACAAAACAGGTTTTTACTTCGATTGCAAACCAACCCCTCTTCTGAAAGATATAGTCTTGCTTAAAAGTCTATCTCCGGGGCGCCTGGGTGGCGCAGTCGGTTAAGCGTCCGACTTCAGCCAGGTCACGATCTCACGGTCTGTGAGTTCGAGCCCCGCGTCAGGCTCTGGGCTGATGGCTCGGAGCCTGGAGCCTGTTTCCGATTCTGTGTCTCCCTCTCTCTCTGCCCCTCCCCTGTTCATGCTCTGTCTCTCTCTGTCCCAAAAATAAATAAACGTTGAAAAGTCTATCTCCAATCAGATAGTCAGTTCTACTGACCTAGGAGCCATTTTCTATGGTGCTTCCCTGCTCCATCCCATGTCAGATTCTCAGAGATGCCTTATTTCTCTTATTTTCATAGTCAACTTACAAATTCTACAAATTCTTACAAATTCCCCTGTTCTTGAAAGTTCCTCTTTCCAAACAGACAGGATTTATCAGTATTTTATTTAGTTCTCTCTCACATGTTGAGTGTAAAGAAAAGCTAATCTGACCTCAGAGAAACATTAAGCATAGAAAGACAAAAATACAGTTCCTGACAGTTTTCAAGAAAAGTCTTGAAAGGGAACTCACCTTTCAGTTAAAACTAATGGCCATCCAACTCACACAAGCTGAAGAGAAAAAGGAATCCACTAGTTTATGTAACTGGGAAGTTCAAAAGTTGTGGCCGACTTGAAGCACAGAAAGATCCAGGTGCTCCAAAATGCCCTCAGGGCTCCTGCTCTGCTCTCAGCTCTGCTGGGCTGCATTCTGCAGTTGGGCCCTTCGGAGGCAGTCAGGATGCCCTAAGCTCCCAGGCCCCTAGTTTACCACTCCTCAGGGAGAGATTTTTTTCTCTCTCTGGACATCAATACAGCAAATCCAGAGAACACTGTGACAGGTCATTAGACTTGTCCAGAGTGGGCTCCAAGCCTGGCCCAGCTTAAGCTATATACCTGCATTTACAGGCCACAAGGACTACATGAAATGTACAAAGATGAATTTCCCAAAGGGAGCTGCAGAAGTGAGGAGTGGTAAGTAGAAAAGACAACAAGTGTTCTCTATTCCTTCTAACAACTCAAAATTTTGACCACTGGACATTTTAACAGGCTTAAAACTATAAGCCTTGTTCCCCACACTGGCTAGAAGGGGTTTTCAATTTCAAGACAAAGGTGGCTGGGAAGTTTAAACTTACACAGACACATTGTCTGATTGGTCTGTACTAGACACAACTATGAATACCAGATTGGAAACCTGCTCATAAATTGGCAAACAAAACAAAACAAAACAAAACCCTCCAAAAATGCAATTTGTAAATCTGATTACAATCTTTGGTCCCTCTGAAATTCTCTGCTCAAGACAAAGTAGTTCCATCATTTTAGCCACATGCTTTTTAAGTGACTATCGAAAAGTCAAACAAAGATATGTAAGTGCGAGGTCTATAATTGATTCTAAATTATAAAATAACTTAAGAGGTTGTGTTTGCATTCCTCTTACCAAAGGTTCATTCACTTTCTCCCAGAATCCTCCTGGTCAGCTGTACCAAACGGATACATGACATTTCCTCTGACTGATTCGTGACAACTGAGCTGTCCCTCCACAGCACAAGGCAGAAGATCTACATTAAATGAAAGTTTCTCAATAAGCAGCAAACTCGTCTAAGACCAAAAACCTAGACATCCTTGCTTTAAGAAATCGCTCATTGTTATAGTAGAACCATAAAGACACGCATGCAAGTTGGTGCTACATGCCATGCCACTTTAATGCCAAACATCTTTTATGTGGAATTATACGATGAAAGCCAAATTTCCAAAACATCTTCAAGAAGGGAGATTGATGCATGTATTTTAAAGCAATGGTCCCCATCTACAAGTGAGACACTCTTGGTTATCTCAGATCATCAACACAAAATCTTCAAAACAAAATTACTTTTAAATCAATTTTATTTAAAAACATGTATAAATAGGCCAAGTAACACTCAAGCCTGAGAGGGCTGCAGTCTTTTCTGAAGAACATCGTAGTCCAAAAAGACTAATACTTATTGCTGATTCAGCTCACAGTATCAGCCCTCTTCAAGCAGCAGCACAATCACCAGCAAACATTTTATGGGCACCTGCTAGGGGCATTAGAGGTTCATAGAGCAATGAGCCACTGCCCTGCCCTCAAGGAGCTGACAGGGCAATGGGAGAGAAATGAAACATCCAAAACAGACACGAAATACACGCATCTATATCATAACAGAAGGAATGACTGGCATGAGTCGTCACATGTTTTACCAAATGAGCATTGGAATTTCTTAGCAAATAGACATTGCATCAAGTTTCAATCTGACATATCAAAAAAATTATTATTTTTAAAAGTTTTTTTAATGTTTATTTATTTTTGAGAGAGAGAGAGAAAGAGAGAAAGAGAAAAAGCATGAGTGGGGGAGGGGAGGCAGAGAGAGAGAGAGGGAGACACAGAATCCAAAGCAGGCTCCAGGGTCTGAGCTGTCAGCACAGAGCCCGACGTGGGGCTCAAACTCACAAACCATGAGATCACGACTTAAGCCAAAGTCGGAAGCTTAACCAACTGAGCCACCCAGGCGCCCCATAAAAAAATTATTTTTATTAATTTTTTTGTTCATTCATGTTTCAACTCAACTGAATTAAAAGAAGAAAATATAATTCCAAGCCAAATGTACCATAGTGTTTGCTGTCCCAAATGAAGAGATGGACTGTTCATGTCCTAGAATTTCTCCATAGTTTACATCCAGATGTCCCTTTCAGTAGTTCTGACTGCCAAACCGATGTACAAATTCAGACAGGGAGTAGACAGCTCCCCATCCTACCTCAGGATCCATGCTGATAAAATCATTCAGGTTCATTTTGGAATCTAAAAAATACATGAAAGAAATGTTCACTGAAAACACAATTGGTTTATTGGCTTAACAGCAATACAACAACCCAGAAGACCAAAAGAAGGGAAAATTATCCAGATGGAGAAGGGTTCAACATCACTTCTGTGGTATTCTTGTGTCAAACGCATAACCTCAATCTAATTATGACAAAACATCACAGAAACCCAAAGTGAGGGACAGTCTACAAATAACTGACTCTTCAAAAGTGTAAAAGCTGTAAAAGGAAAGAAAACAAAACAAAACAAAACAAAGAAATTGCCAGGGATTGAAGGGGACTGAGGAGACGGAACAACTAAATGTAATATCCTGGGTTATGTTCAAAAGGCTGGAGAAAAACAGGAGCATAATGAAGAGAGAGAGAAATGAAAGGTATTAAATCAGTCCAAAATGGAATGTCTAGACATAAAAAAATAAAATACGTAAAATGAAAAGAATGTGCTGGATGAAGTTAACAACAAAGTAGTTAATGCAGAAGATAAGAGCAGGATGCCTGGATGGCTCAGTCGGTTAAGCATCTGACTCTCGGTTTTGGCTTGGGTCACGATCTCATGGTTTCGTGAGTTCAAGCCCTGTATCAGGCTCTGTGTTGATGGTGCGGAGCCTGTTTGGGATTCTCTCTCCCTCTCCCTCTGCCCCTCTCCCACCCATGCTGTCTCTCTCTAAATACACAAACTTAAAATTTTTTTAAAAAAAAGAACAATGAATTTGCAACAAAATAAAAGAATTATTCAAAATGAAGCACATACATAAAATGTATGAAAAAAACAACCAGACCTACTGACCTCTGAGAATAATACCAAGCCATCTAACCAATGTGTAGCTGAAAGACACGAACTTAAAAGGAGGTCAGAAAAAATGTGAGGAAATAATGGCCAAATGTTCTCAAATTTGATGAAAACTATAAATCCATCAATCTAAAGATCTTAAAAAAAAAAACAAAAAACTCAAGTGGAATAAGCCTAAAGGAGACTACACTAGTCCATCATAATCAAATTGCTAAAAACCAGTGATAAAGAGAAAAACCTTAAAAAATATTCAGAGAAAAAAAGACACACTACATTCAGAGTAATGAATAAGAGATCAGAGCCTGTGCATGCAGAAAACAAGAGAGACGTCTTAAAAGAACTGAAAGAAGAAAAACATGTAAATCTAGTATATGTTACCCAACACTGTATCTTTAAAAATGAAAGCAAGCACTTAGGATATAGAAAACTAGAAACAGATTCACTAACACCCTTATAATAAAAAAGCTAAATAAACAACTTTTGTTGAAGTCCTCAGACAGCTAGGAACGCAACCGGAAATAAAGGTAAGACAGGCATCTGTCAGGTGAGATGGGGCGGAAGTTCTTGCTGACCTGGGTAGGTGTCAAACTCCATTAGAGCCCAGTAAGTCTGCGAACTTTTTTAACAAACTACTTTTAAAAAAATCTGTATTTGTTTTCTAAGAGTTTTTCTCCTCCCTCCCTTTTTTGTTTTGTTTTCTAAGACTTTTTAATGTCATCAGAGAAAAAATGACTACTATCTGCAATCATTCATTATGTACAAGATCAATGTATAAAAACAAAATAAAAAAAAATTTTTTTTAATTTTTTTAACGTTTATTTATTTTTGAGACAGAGAGAGACAGAGCTTGAACGGGGGAAGGTCAGAGAGAGGGAGACACAGAATCTGAAACAGGCTCCAGGCTCTGAGCTGTCAGCACAGAGCCCGACACGGGGCTCGAACTCACGGACCTGAGCCGAAGTCGGCCGCTTAACCGAATGAGCCACCCAGGCGCCCCCAAAATAAAAATTTTTTAAAGATCAAGGCAAAACAAATAAACATCTGCCTCTAATCTCCCCACGAGGCACTACAACATTTCTGTTTGTTTACTTAACACCGGTCCTCCAGCTTGGCTCAAAGTGGCCAGTGTTACCATACATTTGGAAGCGGGAGGATGAGAAGTGTATGTGGACCAGAGGCAGGAAAGGACTTAGAAAGAGAGGAGGAAATTTGGTGTACTCTATAGCTCAGCCTAAGAAAATGTCTTTTAGGGGCACCTGGGTGGCGCAGTCAGTTAAGCGTCCGACTTCAGCCAGGTCACGATCTCGCGGTCCGTGAGTTCGAGCCCCGCGTCAGGCGCTGGGCTGATGGCTCAGAGCCTGGAGCC